TCTTCATCAAAGAGCCTGATTTTTAGGTTAAACAAATTTAAGAACATTGAGAAAAGGAACAATTTACCTATAAAGAACTAGGAAACAGACTATATCCTCCTTTTATCCATTCTTTTACCAATACCATAGAGCAATTTTAAAAGTTAATAAACTCACTAAAAAGAGAATTAAAAGTACAATAAACAAAGGGGAAAAATTAATGTTTATGAGCCTCTATATGCAGAAGTATATTCAGAAACTAAAAAATTGAAATATATGTCAAAATTTTTTTATTAAATTAAATGAAATTAAAGAAATATAAATTAAAGAAGTAGCAAGTTGGTGAAAACTATTAACATATTTACCAAAGGGTTTAACAGGCAAACTATTCATATAAGGAATATGGAAAATAATCCTAAATAGATGAGGAAACATACTAGGATTGTATTAGAGAAAATATGCAAAATATATAAATGAATACTTATAATAAAATCCAAAAGGCTAATGTTCATGAAAAAATAATAACCTTAGTGATAATTTACAAGTGTGAATTACAACTTGAGCTACACTTTACACTCACCAAGTGAATAAAAGTTTGTGTTTTTTTCCACCGCCTGCCTCGCAAGTGCAAGGTCCTGAGTTTGATCTCTGGTACCAAAAAACAAAAAAACAAAACAAAACAAAACAAAAGTTTGTGTGTGTGTGTTTTTTTTTTCCCAAAATAAGGTTGTTCAGGCATGTGTGTTGGTGCATGCCTGTAATTCCAGCAGTCCAAGAGGCTAAGGTAGGAGATCACATGTTCAAGCCCAGCCTGGGGCAATCTAGCAATTTGGAAAGACCCAGTCTCAAAATAAAAAATCAAAAAGGGCTGGGTATGTAGCTCAGTGTGAGGGTCCTGGATTTAATCTGAGTATTGCGAACAAAACAAAATGAGTTTGCTCAATACTGAGGATGTAAAATGATAGATTCTTGCAGGAAAGTTTTCATCTGTGTATTAAAAGATCTTAAAATATTTAATCACACAGTAAAGGAATTCTATTTATAAGTATGTACTGTAAGGAATTTCATTCAATCAGTATTTTTTTTTTTGGTACTGGGGATTGAACTCAGGTCCTTGTGCTTGCGCAGCAGGCGGTGAAACCACTGAGCTAAATCCCCAGCCCTCAATCAGTATTTTACTGGATATACTGTTTTAGGTACTGAAATATGGTATAAATATTTAAGTGTAAGTGATTGGTAGTAATTGTGGAAAAGTAAAAATAAAATAACTGTCTAATAATAAGGGAATCACTTGTCTCCATGAAATAATATTTTTTCAGCTATCAAATATTATGGTTATAAATTACTTTCAGTGAGTGATAAATATACTTATTTTTTCCAGCACTGAGCTACATCCTCAGCCCTTTAAAAAAATTTTTTGAGACAGGGTCTCATTAAGTTACTACGTTGCTCAGGCTGGGTGCAAATTTGAGATCCTCCTTCTTCAGGCTCCCAGAGTAATGAGATTACAGGTGTGCACCACCACAGCCAGCTGAAGACTTTCTAACTTGAAAAGAAAATGTTCAGTGCAGCATTTAGATATTGACTGTCAGAAGAAACAATGACTAATGTCTAAGGTATTTTGCCAACAATCCCCTATTTGAAGTAATAGATTTGGAATACACTGTATATGTAACTTGAAAGAAAAAGGGGCTTTCCTCTAATGCTACGTTTTAGGTACAGCCTGCAGCGAAGGGGCTATTAAGCTCAACCAACTTCATTCCTCACTTTTCCCAGCTTAACACACACACACATACATACACACACACACACACACACACACACACACCACAGAAAGAGCAGGGAAGTTTAGGAGGCAATTTTATTTTTAAAATGTGGAAGAAATACAGTATTCTTGTTCCAAGAAATCCTTCAAGTTTAAAGGACCAAATATTATTTTTTTATCATACTGATAGGAAGAGAATACATTCTTCAGTTGTCAGAACTGTCAAGTTTTCTTAGATGAAGAATTCCATGTTACCATGTTCACTATAGATAAGGATAAAAAGGATGAATATCTAAAGTGACAGAGCAATTATTCTCTATTGGTAGCTTGTGGTTCCACTTGATGGATGCAAGAAGACAGTCTCACAACAACCATTTGAAACTTACAGAGAGAAGTGACACATTTATCTGGAATACTGAAGGCTTAACACTGTTATTGTACTTGGGAGATTTTGTGTGGTTTTGCTGTGAGCAGACTTACACTTAAAAAACCAGATTATTTCCTTTTGCTGAATAACATCTGAAGACTGAATAAGGGGATGTTGCTTCATTCTTAGAATCCTTACAAATATAAAAAGGAAATAATGTAGTTTATAAAACAAATAAAAAGTGCTCAACTCAAAGCTTATTTTAATTGTATATTCAATATGAAATGGGCTTATGTGATATTAATAGTATCTTATTATTTATTGGAGGAAAGACCCTTAATGTGGTATTTAAGTTTCTAATATTTAATACTTCTTCTAAATTTCCTCTTTTCTGTTTTCAGAGCAAATTTTCAGATAAAAGAGAATGAAATATGTGATTAGGTATTCCAAAAATTTAGACTGTCATGGGTTCAGGTTGACTTTTGGAGGCTCAGTGGACCATTCAAGATGCAGAAACAAAGCAGAAGTACAGGAGATCTTCAGCATTAGAGAAAGCTCTGATAATAAATAATGCAATAGTAACAAAAGTCATGAACATAAGTAGGACACTTAATGAAAAAAAGAAAAAATTAAAAGGGATGGGAATTGAGCTTTGGATAAGTCTGCATTTATGTGATAGCAAGAAGAGGAGGAACTAAAGAGAAAGGGAAGAAGAATATTAGTACCCTAGAGGCCAGAAAGGGCAGATGTTCCATGAACCAATGATGTGGGAAGGTAAATGGTAAATCCTGGCACAGCATTTGGGTGGGAATTTGAGTAATAAGATGGGGGTAGAATCAGAGAGGGAGAAAGAGGGAGAGAGAAATAAGGAAACAGGTTCATGAATGTAAAATTTTTATGTTTTTAACATGTTTGGTACTAAAAGGAAGCTGAAAGTTGAAAAAGGACCAAAGCTTAGGTCAGGAAAAAGACTGATTACTTGATTTTGTCCTCCATGAAATGGGACACTGACAGTACCAACTTCATGGAATACTTGTGAAGTTTGACTAGGAATACTATATAGAAAGTACCTAATAAAAGACATGACAAAATCAAGGGCTAAATAAAGGTGTCATTATTGTATATAAGGTAGAAACAGTAAGTGCCAAAAGAGAACTGTAGGAGATGAAAAAGATAAGGTGTTTTGATGAAGTGATAAAGATAAAGGCCAAGTTCATCTACTTAGCAAAGGGAAGAACTTCAAGAACTGAGAAGGAAGAAATATTTTAGTAGAATGTGGGAAAAGGGAAACAGTGTAAAGTTCAATTCCCTAAAGTCAAAATTCATGAAGATTTCGAGATACTGATTTTAAAAAGAGATTCAGTTAAAGACTTCCCCAATTTAAAAATCTGTTCAAAGTATCCTGTTCTCTTTGTTACTTACATTTCATAGGGCCACAACAGAATTATTTGATGTAATGTAGACATTCAACACACAAAATCATATATTGTTTCCCTCTCCTTCACTACCTTCATGTTCTCATTTTCTTTTTTATCCAGGGTAGATTTAATAGTCCATCATTATGATCATTATGTTGATCTTCCATCAAATCCAACAACATCCACGTTCCTCTCTTTCTGCATCATATTTACCTGGAAAAATTCTAACCCTGACTGAACACTGTTTGCTTACTTCATATCTTTTGGATTGCCCTTCTCGATGAGGAAAAATTCTATCATGGTAGACATATCTTTGTAGGGCTGCTCCCAAGTTTATGCAAACCATAGGGAATGCCACTACATCATACAATATCAGTTAAGGAAATGAAAGACATGATCCCTATTCTTTGTTATTTATTCAATACCCCTCCTCCCTCCCTTCAAATTCTATTTTCTAGCTTTTTTGGGGGGGGTACCGGGGATCAAATTTGGGACCTTGCTCTTGTGAGGCAGATGGCAGAACCACTGAGCTAAATCCCCGGCCCTTCTAGCTTTTCCAAATGAATATTTAGTTCACTTGTTTTCAATCGCTCTTTTTTTTCTTTTAGTACAATAAAATATTTCTCTTAGTTGTCTTTAATGGTTTTTGCTCAAATTATATTTTAAACTGACATATAGAAGCCTGTGAAAATAACCATAGCTTGATGAATTATCACCAGAAGCTATTCTGATGGGCATATAACCAGCACCCAGGTTCAGAGCAGATCATCATTATTCTAGGTCCCTTTCTTTCCTACAACCTCTCTTTTCCAAAGGTAGCCAGTACTTTGACTTTGAATATTTTGATCTTCATATAAGTGGGATCATGTAATATGTATTCTCTTGAATTTTAACAATTTTGTTCAATATAATCTTTATAAAATCTATTCCTGTCTTTTTATATAGCTTTTTTTTTTTGTACTGGGGATCAAACTTGGGTCCTTGTGCTTGCAAAGCAGCTGGTGGAATTTATATAGCTTTTATCTTCATTGATATACAGTACTCCACTGTATGAATATACAGTACTATAATGTACTTATCATTTGTAATGTTGATGGCCACTTGGGTAGTTTACAGTATTTGGTTACTAGGAATAATGTTGTTAGAAGCATTTTTAGATGTGACTTTCAGTCCATAACTGTACACATTTCCTGTGCATATAGAACAATTGAATCATAGCACATGTATATGTTTAAGTTTAGAAGATACTGTCCAAATAGTTTCCAGAGTGATTTGTAGTGCTTTGCATTCCTTGTTATAAGGTATGAGAATTTCTAGTGTTTTGTTTCACATCGACATCATCACTTGTATTGATAATCACGTAAAGTTTATCTTTTCTTTTAAAAGAGAGTACCTAATTATGCTGTTTAATTTGTAGTTTCCCAGTAACTTTTTCCAAACATTAATTTTCAATCTTTCTATATTCTTTCAGATTTTGTTTTAGATACTTCCATGAAGACACACTTGTATATCTGAGTCATCCACCCAGGTCTGGGTAATTCAGTAGAACTCAAGAGGACAGAACCAGGTACCAACTGAGGAAAATAATAGAGTTGCAGGCTGAGTGACCATTGGCATCTAGGCAAACCTGCTTCCTGGACAATACTCATCAGTCAAGAAGCCCAAGAAAGATTATTATTTCATGTGCAAAAAGTTGACTGGTAGATCCTGTTGCCTCATACCTACAGCAACTCAAAATTAAAAAGTAGAATTTTCCTGCATCCTCAACTACCTAAAACATATCTAAAAACTGGGAGGTTGCTTTCCATTAATTTGAAACTATGAAGTCTAAGAACAGATGTGCTGAGAATCCAAGCTGTAACATAATGATATTTCATCCAACCAAAGAAGAGTTTAATGATTTTGATAAATATATTACTTACATGGAATCCCAGGGTGCACACAGAGCTGGCTTAGCCAAAGTCATTCCTCCCAAGGGATGGAGAGCCAGAGAGTCCTATGACAACATCAGTGACCTCATGATAACCACTCCTCTGCAGCAGGTGGTCTCTGGGAGGGCAGGTGTGTTTACTCAATACCATAAAAGGAAGAAAGCCATGACGGTGGGGGAGTACCGCCACCTGGCAAATAGTAAAAAGTATCAGACTCCTCCACACCGGAATTTTGAAGATTTGGAGAGAAAATACTGGAAGAATCGCCTCTATGATTCCCCCATTTATGGTGCTGACATCAGCGGCTCCTTGTTTGATGAAAACACAAAGCAGTGGAACCTTGGGCGCCTGGGAACCATTCAGGACCTGTTGGAGCAGGAATGTGGAGTTGTCATCGAGGGAGTCAACACACCCTACCTGTACTTTGGCATGTGGAAGACCACATTCGCGTGGCACACAGAGGACATGGACCTCTATAGCATCAACTACCTGCACTTTGGGGAGCCCAAAACTTGGTATG